TTGGGGAAGGGGAGCGAGGAGTCAGCGGGACCGCGCTCTAGCTGGGGCTCACACAGTGCACGAATATTGGCCTCGCTTCGGTGGCGGTCCGCCTCCTCTCAGTCTTCCTGCTTCGCTCTCCCCTCCCTCCCTCTTCCCTTCGCTCCTCGTTCTCCCTCCCCGCTCTCTCCCCATTCCCCCCAGGCTGCCGGCTTTGACGCCTCCCTCGTCCTTGCTTTGCTCCTTCCTTCTTCACGTCCTGGCCTCCTCTGTCTCGTCTTCCCCGCTCCCCCCGATGGGGGGTGGAAAGGATCGGGGAGCAGGGGGGAAAGCGGGGAGATGTTGAGGAAGAGGAGGGGGGATGAGGGGGGGGGGGGGGGGGAAGGGGGGCGAGATGGCCGGGTGGGGGAGGGCCGCGAGTTATAGTCGCCGGATACGCCGTGTGCCCGGGTATGCTCGGGACTCTGCCCGTCTGGAAGCGCAGAAGGAGGGGAGGGCGACGCGAGAGGAAAGGGGAGGTGGGAAGCCCGATGGGAGGCCAGCAGGGTGGAGGAGTGAGCGGGAACGGGCGCCGCCAAGGGAGGAGGAGGAGGAGGAGGAGGAGGAGGAGGAGGAGGAGGAGGAGGAAGGAGGAGGAGGAGGAGGAGGAGGAGGAGGAGGAGGAGGAGGACGGAGGAGGAGGGGACAGGAGGTGGAGGTGGACGGCGTGGACGGCGGCACGCGGCGCCTCCGAGAGGATGCCGAGGCCGGCGTGCTGGACCGCGCGAGGCTGCCCGTGGCGAGACTAGCCGATCCCGTGCCGTACATGATCTTAGAGGAGCTCTGCTTTGCCCTCCTCCTCCTCCTCCTCCTCCTCCTCCTCCTCCTCCTCCTCCTCCTCCTCCTCCCCAGGGTGCCGGGATAACGCTTCCTGGTGCTGGACGGGGGGGTTCTTAATTGTTTTCCAGGGTTGACCCAATTTCAATTGGGCGGGGCCAGGGCTGGGATAATTCTTCCCAGAGCGTCCTGGAACGCTCTCAGATTATTTCGGAGCGCTTCGGAGCGGCCGCGGCGACCGATGCATCCTCCAGAACCGCCAGATCTCAGAGATCCCAGATTCGCCCCCGTCCTGGCTTCGTCATTCGGCAGCGCGCCCGGGGGGGGAGGGAGAAGGAGTACGTAGGCCTCCTCAGAAGGCGGCGGGGCTTCTCAGAAGCCCTCCGGCATTCTGAGATTGTTTCCGTGTCTTTTTAGGGAAGTCTCAGAAAACTTCTCAGAAAGCCGGAGGCCTTCGGAGCCTTCTGAGAAGGCCCGCCCCTTCTCTCTTCCCCCCCCTGGCTCGCCGCCGAGTCTTGCCCAAGGGCTTCGCCAAGCTATCCTCCGTCGAGGGGAAAGTCGAGGCGGCCAGAGCTGTCTGTCCAAGGCTGGGCCTCTGGAGGCCCGGCGCATGCCCCGGGGCCTCGTCCTCCTCGCGTCCTTCTCTCTCCTCCTCGTGCTCCTCGTCCTTCTCCTGCCCTCTTGCCTCTTCCCCCTCTTCCCCCTCGTCCTCCTCCTGCCCCCTCCTGCAGCTTCTTCCTTCAAGTGTCTCCCAGACTCTTCAGTTGGCTCCCTCCTCTCCTCCGCCTGCAGCTTGGGCTCGCGCGCAGGAGCGAGCCGCGACCAAACTTCGCCCTCCCCCTTCCTCAGGACACCCCCGCCTCGCTGTTCTACGCGCTGTTCACGAAGGCGCGTGCCAGCGTGGCGTGCGTGGTGAGCGACAGCGGCGAGTTCCGGCTCGCTCCAGGGGGGGGGGGGGCGGAGTGGCCAGGATGCGTTGTCGTCCTCGTTTTGGAGGTTTCCGTGGGTTCTCAGCGGTTTTTTAGCTTGTGGGTGCGTTCCAGCATGCGCCTCGCCAAGAGCGTTCCGGGGGTGCCCAGATCGCCCCGAACGGCCTCCAGAGATTTGAGTTATGACCCCCAAACCAGATGGAGGTTAGTTACGTCCCTGTTCCCTTCCCCCAGGACCAGTGTTTCGTCCAGATTGTTGTTTTTATTACGGTCCTGGGATTGAGGTAGAGTTGGAGGGGGAAGAGGAGCATTGTAATATTTCGTAGGGGGGTGACGCAGACGGTGTTGGCTCAACCTCCTCCGCTTGACCCCGTCTGGCAATCTTTGAAAGAGTTTCTTTTGAGCACGCTGGGAGAAAGTCAGGAGGGCAGTTTATGCCCACCCCTTCCCCTCCAAAGTGCCAGTTTGGGGTCGATTGGAGAAGCCATACGCCGTTTGGCGCGTGGGCGTGAAAAGTGTTCCTGCCAATGCGGAGGAAGAAGGGCTCATCACTACTGCGACGCAGAAAACGGAGCGCCCCCCGACTGCGATGCAGAAAATCACGACGGAAGAGGGGAGGGGGAGAGAGGAAGAAGGAAGCACTAGAGCAAGTCGGTTTCACCTTTGTCAAAAGCGAGCTCAACGCAGAATTCTCGTCACTTTACCTGGCCCTGCGAGGCCTCGTGCAAGCAGTGGTCAGAATGGAAACGACCCCGATATTTACGATATCGCCCATTCATTTCTGGGTCTCCCGACTGTTCGTTTGCATGAGTCGGTCGCCAGCCTGGGACTGTTTGGTTGAAAAGTGAGCTGTCGCAAAGCATTTGTCTTGTGTCGTGTGGCTGGCATTTCGGATTCGGGGGTCGTGCCCTCCCCCTTCACCTCCAAAGTGAAAGTCGTCGGGGGGGGAATGAGAACACCCCTCCAAGCCGGCAGACGTTAACAATGCGGAGGAGGAGGAGGAGGAGGAGGAGGACGACGACGGCGACATCGCGTTCCGCCCGACCGCCTGACTGGCTCGCCCACGACCACGACAGCGACTGCGACCGCGACAGCGAACGGCGACGTGTCCCGCCTTGATCTACGCCTTCTGCACTCTGGGCTCAGTCCGGTATCTGTACTCTCCTACGTTGTGCTGGTGTTCTTCTCCGAGCGCTTCGCCGCATGAGCCTGCACCGGCGCCTCGCTCGCTCGTTGGCTCTCTACTCTCCATGGTCTCCCGAGTCTTTCTCTTCTTTGTATTCCTGAGGTTCTCTCTCAGAGCCCTGGAGCGGCGACTCGGGAATACGGTACTCTGGTCGCCTACTGAAATGGGCCTGGCGTTTTGTCAAATCTTTGTCAGATCCAGGACACCGAGGACCTAAGAATTTGGCCGTCTCCCGAACTCGGCCCAGCCTTTTCGCCAAAGGCTTACACTTTCAGAGAGGACCCCTGCCGTGCAAGCTCTGATTTGAACATTATCTGCGCAATGCTACGCCTTGTAATGCTATGCTCGCCATGACAAGGCTATTCCCACTGTGCGCCATGTTGCACCATCCTCGCCATGATACGCTACATTCTGTCATGCGATACCATGAAATACCGCGCGATGCTATGATGTGCCACTATAGGATGCTGCATGTTGGGAGATGCCAGGCTGTCATACTACGTGGCACGTATCTACATTACACGATGATTTGCAATGCTAGGTTCTTTGTTTGAACGTCAGGGACTAAACTAAGCGTGGTTGTGGGAGTTGTCTGAGATGTTGCACGGGGTAAGTCACACGTGGGGTGGCGCGGATGCGTTTCTACCTTGGTCAAGTGTTCCAACGATTCCTGTGCAGCTATTCATTTGGGTATGTGATTCCCCTCACGAGGTTGACACGAGGATGGCTCCCCGCTCTTTTGTTACGCGCAAATTGATGCCAGCGTGACGGTTTGAGTTTCCGTGCGCGCGATGTGCGAAGTCAATGTCGAAAGAGAACATCGTTGACGTGCCACTGCTCTTCTCCAATCAACGCGTGCACTAAGTGTGTCTCACTTCGCTTTTGCTGCGTGATCGGCTGGGGCTGCCGGGTTTTCGGACCGTGCGCGCCCGCGGGAGACTCTTGACCGCCTCGCGCGCTGGCTGGCGCTTAGTGGATGTTCGTGGAGCCTTCGGCTGGGGCCCGCCCGTCGGCGCCTCGTGCGCCTGCTCGCGCGCTGCTGGATTTTGGCTGGTGCCCGCCCGTGGGCGCCTCGGGCGCTTCGTGCGCTGGCTGGCGTTTTTGCGGGTGCACACTTTTTTAATATTCCACCGCATAGTTTGCACCGCAAAGGTCACACCACATTGTTTTCAATGCATAGGTTGCGCGACCTTGACTCAGCGAAATAATTAAGGTTGCACCACATAACATTGTACCACGTATATTGCACCGCATGTGTTGCACCACTGGCGTTGCACCACGTAGCATGCATCACGTCGCACGTATCGCATTGCTTGCACCACGTGCATTGCACCACACGTCTCGCATCACATGCATCGCTCCCGCAGTTAGTACCTCATTATTGCCACCGTAGCTTGCACCACATGCGCCCCACTGCTTGCACCCCAAAGTTTACACCATATACCTTGCACCAAGTAGCTTGCATAACACAGGCTGCATTCCGTATACTTTCCACAGGTATATTGCACCACGCACATTGTACCACACAGACTGCATCGCACATGTGCCACCATCCTTATCCAGACACACTCACGCGCAAATAGCACATACGCACGTACACATATGCACCTATACAAACACATTCACATACGTTTGATTGCAAACATATATATATATATACACATATATATATATGTATACACAACAACCCACTTACACACATACCGGTGTACATATATGTGTATACATGCATAAATTCATTTTTTGCATGCATCAATTCCGCCACACACACATATCACATCGAGAATGCACTACTCTGTGATGTTGTCCATTCTGGGGTCCATGCTGGTACACACTGGTACACGCTCATTGGTAAAATCGAGAATCGTGCCTTCGGTCGTTCTCGGAACTGCGGCCAGGGTATGCCCAGCAAGAAGCATGGACGGGAGAAGAGCGAAGACGAGGGGCGGTGGGCGAGGGGCCAGGGAGGACGGGTGGTTGTGTGGGGGTGCGGATGAGTATGATGGGGTCGCTGGGGGTGTGTGGGTGGGGCGGGGCGTTGTTCCTGCCGGCCCCCCCGCGTGCGCACAAGCAGAGAGGGGAGGGGCGTGATCTCGCGGCTGGGTCTCATCGGCGCCGTGAGGAGAATCGAGGAGTGCGCGCGCCCCCGCCCCCTCGCCCTCTCGGCGGGCCTGGGCCCCACCCCCCTTCCCCCCTCTGAACTCCTCCTCCACGCAGCTTTGTTGCGGCGCCGTGCCGTCCAGGAGAGGCCTGGGGGACAGTGCTGCCTCCTCTTGGTCGTCCCTGTTGCCCACGCTTGCGGTCGGGAGGGCGAGGCCACCGATGTTCCACCCATACTCCCCCTCCTCCTCTTTGCCCTCCTCGGCCTCCTCCTGCTCCTGCTCCCCCCTTTCCCCTTTATCCTACTTATTCTTCTCCTCCTGCCCACCCCCTATGCAGAAGGTTGCACGGTAGCAGATGCTGTAGAGTCTCTGTTCGGATCAGAGCAATGGTGTCGAAATAAGTTGACGCGACAATTGGCGCCACCGAGGGTAGCATCGAGAACGTAGGACCGAGCGCTGCCATCGAGTCGAACCCACCTCTGGTGATGCCTTCCCCCTCGCCTTCCCTCGACCGAGTGCGAACTTACGGCCGACTCTAAGCTTTGAGGTCGTCGATGATACCCGCAAGGGTGGCACTCTGACGGCACACATGCAGGGGCACCGCGTAGTGTCTTGGCCCACTTTGTAATGTCGGGGGCATGGAGTGTTGGAAGTAGGGGGGTGGAGGGCCAGGGAGGGAGAGGGAGGGAGTTAGGGGGGGACGAGTTGGTGGACGGGGGGAAGTGGTAGGAGAGGAGGAAGGTGTGTCATTTGGGCTCTTGGAACTGATCCATCACCTGGCAGGAGGGTCCGACCAAACGCATCGAACTCACTTTACCTGTTCAGTCCGTCACATTTCAGCTTCATGACCAGCTGAGCTGATATCTAGGCACCCTAGCCAGTGCTTCTCCGCCCAACGACGATATCTGGGAGAGGGCGGCCATCATTACCACCATGTTTAAGAATCTCTGCTATGCCGTGCATGAAGCGCGCCTGCCGTGCACATGGGTCATCTTGCTGTGCAGCGGCACTTGGCCGGGCACCGCTTCGACGTGCTGGTCGGGATCCGCGCAGCGCGATGCCAACCCCCTTTGTGCGACCAGCCGGGTGCCGAAGCGGCCTTTGTTTGGCCAGAGGCGTGTTCGGAGTCGTCGGGGGTGGCTGTTGGCATGCCGCGCCTCCCTGGATGGTGGTCACGTGCTTGGTCAGGCGGGCCGCGAAGCCGATCGTGGTGCGCCTTCTCATGGAGCTGCTGACCTCCAGTATTCTCATAATCATGTTCGTGGCGGGCACGCTCATGGCGCTCATATTCCAGTCGTGCGTGGTCCTGCTGGACATGGTCGTGTTTCTTCCGAGCTTTTCAGTGATGGGTCTGAATCGCAGGCCATTATAAGCGATATTGTGCTCAAGCGAGGTTGTGCGTTTCAGGGCAGCTCTCAGAACGTTTGTGTTGGCCCCGCTGGGGTCAGTCAGAACAACTCTGTTCCTGTTCCACTGTATTCGCCTTTTCCCGCTCCGCTTCGCCATCTCCTCCATCCGCGCCGTCCACTCCCGATCCAACGCCCCCTCGCCACATGCAAACAACATGAGTACGTACTACTCTTCCCTATTCCCTGATACGGTGTTGCTTTGCCGCTGCCCCTCCCATACATATATAGATGTATATATATATATATATATGTATACCTATATATACATACATATTTACATATGCGGTGGGGGGCGTTCGGTAAGGAATTCGCCCAGGGGGGCTTCAGACCTTGGAGTGTTCTTATCTGATGAGGGCGGCAGTGAGATCCACGGCCCATCCACGATTGGTGTTCCACCAGTTTCCAGACCCTGGATTCCTTATCCAGTGGTTCCTTATCCAATGCCCTCACCGTACCTCTCTCTACATATATAGGTATATGGCTGTGCGCATGTGCAAATAGTCACACAACTATGGATGCATATGTATACATATGTGCGTGTGTGTGTGCGTGTGTGTGGAGTGGGAGTCCAAGTGGAAGGGGCAAGAGGTGGATACAACACTGGAAATGCGAAGTTGGAGGGGCAGTTGGAGTGGCGACCACGAGGAGAACGAGATAGACGAGGAGGAGGAGGAGGACGACGACGACGAGGAGAGCGGTGAGGGCAATGATGACGGGGACGGCGGTGATGACGAGGGTGCAGACGCAGGAGGACAAGGATGATGATTGAGATGGGGAGGACTGGTGGAGGGGGAGGGGGAGGGGGAGGGGGTAGGAAGCGGAGAAGGTCGAGAAGGGGGAGGAGGAGGAGTGAGGATTCGTTTTTTCGTGCGACATTCGGCAAGATGAGGGGTGGGGTGGTTTCAGGGGGGGGGAAGGAGGGTCATAATTATCAGGAAACCTGCGCAGGAAGCGCACCGTTTGGGGAGGGTGCCCGGGTGACGGCCCTACCAGCTCGCAACGTTGGTTGCCCCTCCATGCAGGAGGCCGAGGACAGCGAATCGGACATCGAGGACCAGTCCTTCGCCACCAACACCTGAGCGGCGGGCTGCGGCAGCGTAGCCTCGGCGTCAGACTTCCGTCCGCCGTTCTTGTGCCCACTCCTCCCACGGAAGCCTGCACACCCCATGGGAGGAGTGGAGGAGGAGGAGGAGGAGGAGGAGGAGGAGGAGGAGGAGGAGGAGGAGGAGGAGGAGGAGGAGGAGGAGGGAGATGATGGCGACGCGGATGAGGAGGGGGAGCAAGATGAGGAGGAGGAGGAGGAGGAGGGGGAGGGAACGACCTTCCTCCAGCCCAGTGACCAGCAGACGAGTTGCGGGCTCGCTTGCCGCAACTGTCTTGTCCACACGAACTATAGACGCACCTGGACACACAACAGTTAACACTTGCAAGACGATTCCATTCGACGGACCACTTCTCGAGTTGGATGACGCCCCATGCTCCATTCCTTCCACTGGTTGCTGTGCTAATTAAGCCACTTTGTCGGGCTCGCACTTTTTTACCTAGGTTAGCCAGACCCCCCTCCCCGTCGTCACAGAATTGCAAGTCTGGCACATACACAAACACACGATGTGTCCGAGCAGTCCACCACCAGAGCGCACCGATGCCCCGGCTCCCGAAGCTTGGCAGGCTCCACGCGCAGATCCGAGCAGCACACCTCCCGCGGCGGATCGACACGCGGGGCCCCCTTGCCTGCCTCGCACACACGTCGCGCCCTGCCAACATTTGCCCACCCAACTCCACTGGTGGGTCGCCCTATAATCGTTTCTCCTGTCAGCAGGAGGCTCGGGAACTCTCTGGAGCCCATGACCAGCTCTGGCCACAAAACAAGCAGCTAAGCCCGAAGACGGCCCGCGGCTTTGGCGACAGTCACCTGGCGATCAAGGCCCTCGACCTCAGCAATCAAAGGCGAAGAAGGAGGGGGAGGAGGAGGAGGAGGAGGAGGAGGAGGAGGAGGAGGAGGAAGAGGAGGAGGAGGAGGAGGAGGAGGAGGAGGAGGAGGAGGAGAGAGGAGGAGGAGGGGGAGCGGGAGGAAGAGGAGGAGCAGGAGGAGGAGGAGGAGAAACAGGAGGAGGGGGGAGATGGAGGAGGCCGAGGAGGAGAGGAGGAGGAGGAGAAGGAGGAGGAGGAGGAGGGAGAGGAGCAGGAGGAGGAGGAGGAGGAGGGGCAAGATATGCCAGGGGAGGAGGAGGAGGAGGAGGAGGAGGAGGAGGAGGAGGAGGAGGAGGAGGATGGGGAGAGGGATGACGACGACGACGACGACGACGTCGACGACGTCGACGCGACGATGATGACGACGACGATGATGATGATGCTGTTGATGATGATGACGATGCCGATGATGAGGATGATGATGATGATGCTGACGATGATGCCGCTGAAGATGATGATGATGATGATACTGATGATGCGGATGTTGATGCTGATGTTGTTTTGGACGATGATGCTGGTGATGGTCATGTTGATGATAATGATGATGGTGATGATGATAATGATGATGTTGATACTGATGATGATGCGTATGACGATGATGACGATGATGATGATGTCGCTGTTGGTGAGTATGATGATGCCGATGCGGATGCTGCTGATGATGCTGATGTTGATGCTGCTGATGAAGATGATGATGCTGATGATGATCGCGATGCTGAAGCTGCTGATGCCCATGATACTGATGATGATGCTGATAATGCTGCTGCTGATGAGGATGCTGATGAGAATGAGGATGGTGAGGATTAGGATGGGGATGCATGTGCTGATGATGATGCTGGTGATGCTTATGATGATGATGCTGCTGATGCTGATGCTGATGCTGCTGATGATGATGCTGCTGCTGATGATGATGACGATGCTGATGCTGCTGATGTTGATGCTGATGCTGATGCTGTTGCTGCTGATGATTATGCTGTTGATGATGAGGACGATGATGATGATTCTGATGATGCTGATGATGTTGATGCGGATGCTGATGCTGATGATGTTGCTGATGCTGATGATGATGATGATGATGACTATGATGATGATGCTGCTGATGATGATGGTGATGCGGATGCTGATGCTGCAGCTGATGATGCTGCTGATGATGATGACGATGATGATGATTATGATGATGATGCTGATGATTCTGATGATGATGATGATGATGATGATGATGATGATGATGATGATGATGATAGTGGGAGGTTGATGATGATGATGCTGATGATGATGATGCTGATGCTGATGCTGATGATGATGCTGATGCTGATGCTGATGCAGATGCTGATGATGATGATGATGATGATGATGATGATGATGATGATGATGATGATGCTCCTGCTCCTGCTGCTGCTGCTGCTGATGATGATGAATGATGATGATGATGATGCTGATGCTGATGCTGATGATGCTGATGCTGATGATGATGATGATGCTGATGATGATGATGATGATGATGATGATGAGGAGGAGGAGGAGGAGGAGGAGGAGGAGGAGGAGGAGGAGGAGGAGGATGATCGGGTGCAAGATAACAGGGGTCGTCAACAGTGTTCACCGGCCTGCCTGGTTCTAAATTTCATGGGCGGCCGAGACGAGGGCCCGGAGCCCCCTCAGAACCCACGGCGACGAGGGACGGGCCCACGACGCCAGACCGGGGCAGCCCCCCGCTATGACCACTGGCGTCCGAGGCCTAGCCGAGCCTCGCGGTGAGGCCGCTCCCTTCCGCCCGCGCCCTCGGGCCGCCTGGCCGCCCGCCTCGGCGCGGGCGCGCCCCGAGGCGCGCCGCCCGGTCCCGCCGCCGCCGCCGTCGGCCTCGTCGGGCCGCCTGGCCTCCCGCCACGCTCGCTCTCCAGCCGCGCCGCCCGGCGGTGGATCCGCGCTCGGCGCCCCGCGCGTGGCGGCGCAGCGCCCGCGCGTGGCCCACGCCGTCGCGGCGGCCCGCCGCAGAGGCCCGAGCGGCAGGCTGCTCCGTGTGGGGGGCACCGCTGCCGCGAGGCGGCTGCGCTCTGGGCCGCGCGCGCCAGCATGAGCGGTGCCGACTTCCGAGGCGCAGCCCATGCCGATCTTCCCGCAGGTCCGAGAGCGAGGCCGGTGGGACGGCCGGGGCAGTGCCCTGCACCGCTCCAGTGACGAGAAGCCCTGCCGCCGAGGTCCCCTTTAGCACCTTGGCGGTCATCGCAGCGAGGCAGACCGTGTCGCGGGCGTTCGGGAGGAAGTACGGCCGCCACACTGCTAAGACGGTGATTACGGCGCGGGCCCACGGGAGGATGTCCCCAAGGGTGATCGCCAGGATGCAGTTGGAGGAGGAGGAGGCAGGCTGGGGCCGAGAGGAAGGTGAAGCAGAGCGGATCCAGCGTGAACGCACTGCCTGGGTCGGGCGAGCGCGCCTCCCACAGCACCCCGCCGTTCGGGAGCCAGCGGAGGGCGTCCGCGAGGAGGTGCGCGCCCGCCTCCGACGGCTGCGCCCTGTGCGGACCCTCCACCGCGATGCCTTCGATCAGCGCCCCGCGCTCGGCGCCCAGCTCAGCGAGTGGCCCCACGCACGGGCCCTCCTGCGCGACGCCCAGCACCCCACCCTCGATGCCCTGCTCGGTGAGCCGCACCTTGTGCAGGCCCTTCTGCGCGATGCCCTCGAGCTCGGTGCCTTGCTCGGTGAGCTGCACCGCGTACGTGTCTTCCTGCACGATGTGCACGATGCCCAGCGAGCGGCACCTCGTGCGTGTCCTCCAGCGTGTTGCCCTCGAAATCGGTTCCCTGCTCGGCGAGCGGCACCTCGCACGGGTCCACCTGCACGATGCCCAACGCCCCGTGTTCGGCACTCGGCTCGGCAGGTGGCATCTCGGACGGGGTCCGCACGATGCCGATGCCCTCGGTGTACTCCCTGGCCTCGCTGCGGAGCGGCGTGCAGTTGTGGGCCGCCGCGATGGCAGCCCGCGGCCTGCGCCCCCAGGCTGGTGGTCAAAGATCGCGCTGAACGGCCGCGCTGCCTCCAGGGCCTCGCAGCCGCCACAAGATCGTGGCGACGGCCTGCGCCTGGGCCCACAGACACCCCTGGGCCCGCCGCCGTCCCTAGTCTGCGGAACAGCGGCCGCACCGGCGTGACAGACCGCCTTCCGTGTCGCTCGCATCACCCGCGCGCTTGGTTTGTGCGGCAAGGCATTGTTTGAGCCGCGCAGAAACTCTGATGATGATGCTGATGTTGATGCTGATGCTGATGATGATGATGATGGTGATGATGTTGCTGCTGCTGATGATGCTGATGATGATGATGTTGCTGCTGCTGATGATGATGATGAAACTGCTGCTGCAGCTGCTTCTGCTGCTGCTGTTGCTGATGATGATGATGATGGTGATGATGGTGGGGAGATGGTGATGATGGTGATTGGCATGGTGATTGTGATTGTGAATGTGTTGATGCAGATGACGATAACGATGATGGTGTTGGTGATGGTGATGGGGTTGGTGATGATGTTGGTATTAACAATGGTGTGGATGTTGACGATGAGGGTTATTATGGTATGATCTTAAAGATGAGGATGACGAGTGTGGTGATGGTTGTGATGATAATCAAGATGATGACGCTGATGATGATGGTGAGGATGAGGATGAGGATGAGGATGAGGATGATGATGATGATGATGATGATGATGATGATGCTGATGATGATGGTGATGGTGATGGTGATGGTGATGGTGATGATGGTGATGGTGGTGGTGGTGGTGGTGGTGGTGGTGACGAGGATGGCGGTCATGATTTCGCTGCTGATCCCGACGATGATCATAGTCATGATCATGACAGTAATGATGCAAGTGAGGCGGAGGGTGCGGGTGAGAATGAGGATGCAGAGGAGGAGTAGGAGGAGTAGGAGGAGGAGGAGAAGGAGGAGGATCATTTAGGACCCGTGTAAACCCAAGAGTCTTCAGCGATGTTGGAACAAACTCTCCCTCCAAGCTCCCTCTTCATAGGCCCCTTTCTACAGTTCATTTCCATTGAAAGAACTGCTTCATTGGAAGGTAACCGTTTGAAGACCCTGTAGCATGCCAGAACATCGTTCTTGGGATTC